CCTTGAACCTGTATCCCCTGGTAATTGATCCCTCCACCCTGGAAAAAGCCTGATATTTTCCACTCTATCCATGCCATTTATAATCTTATAAACTTCGATCAGGTCGCCCCTCAACCTCCTGCGCACCAGTGAAAACAAACCCAGTCTATCCAGCCATTCTTCATAGCTAAAATTTCCCATACCAGGCAAAATCCTGGGAAATCTTTTCTTACCCTCTCCAAAGGATCCACATCCTTCTGGCAGTGTGGTGACCAAAACTGGACGCAATATTCCAAGTGTGGTCTAACTAAAGTTCTATACAGCTGCAGCATAACTTGTCTATCCTATTATTCTATGCCCCTTCCAATGAAGGCAAGAATGCCATAGGCCTTTTTTTACTACCTTATCTACCTGCGCTGCCACCTTCAGTGATCTGTGGACCTGCACACACATATCTCTCTGCTTATCAATGCTCCTAAGGGTTCTGCCATTCACTGTATAGTTTCCACCTGTACTTGACCTTCCAAAATGCATCACCTCACATTTGTCTGATTAAACTCCATATGCCATTTTTCCGCCCATGCCTCAACTGATCTATATCTTGCTGGATCTGACAATTCTCCTCACTTTAAAGTTTTAGGGAAGATTTGTAGCTCGGGTTATGGATGAGATTGTTGACATGCTCGCCGAGCCGGTGGGTTTCGTTGCAAACATTTTGTCACCGTGCTCGGTAACATTGTCAGTACACTTCCAGTTAAGCAGCGGTGCTCTGTCCCGCTTGTTATTTATATGCCTCTGTTTGCTGGGGTGGTTGGTATGACTTCCGGTTTTTTTTCTCAATGGTTTGTACACAGGGTCTAGTTCAATGTGTTTGTTGTTGGAGTTCCAGTTGGAATACCAGGCCTGCAGGAATTCCCTGGCGTGTCTCTGTTTGGCTTGTGAGATTATTGATGTGTTGTCCCAGTCAAATTCGTGTCCCTCGTTGTCTGTGTGTAGTGAGACAAGTGAGAATTAGTCATGTCTTCCATTTCTTTCTCTGTATAAGTGTTCCTGTTCTGCTTTGCGTAGTTCCGGATTGCTGCAATGTGTTCTGGCTCGTTAAATAGTGTCCTGGTGCAACTCCGTTTGAGAGTATTGGGGTGGTTGCTAGCGTAATTGATTATCTGATCCGCATGTGTGGTCTTTTTATATACGCTTGTCTGGAGATCCCCATTGTTTTTGCTTTCTCCATTATGTCCAGGAAGGGCAGCTGGTTGTTGTTTTCTTCTTCTCTTATAAATTTTATCCCAGTAAGGATGTTGTATATGTGTCGGTGGGTTTCTTCCAGTTTAGTGCGTTTAATAATCACAAAGGTGTCATCTACATACTGCACCCAAAGTTTGGGTTGTATAGTGGGAAGCGCTGTCCGTTCTGACCTTTGCATTACTGCTTCTGCAATCACTCCTGATATTGGAAATCCCATTGGTGTTCCATTGATTTAATTTGTATATGTTGTCGTTGAAGGTGAAGTGGGTTGTGAGGTATAAATTTAGTTGTTTCATGGTGGTGTCCTGATTGATGTTGTTGGTGTCCTAGGTTGTCTGCTTACTTGATTCGTCTAGCAGTGTGGAAATTGTTTCTTTGGCTAGGTCGATGTTTGTGGATGTAAATAGTGCTGCTACATTGAAGGATATCATCACCTCGTCCTCTTTTATCCTGGTATCCTTGATGATGTTGAGAAATTCTTGGGATGAGTGGATACAGCGGGTAGTGTTGTCCACTAAGTATTTCAATTTCTGTTATAGTTCTTTGGCAAGTCTATATGTTGGTGTACCTGGCAGTGAGATAATGGGTCTGAGAGGGACCCCTGGTTTGTGTACCTTGGGGAGTCCGTAGAATTGGGGTGTGTTTGATCCCTCTGGCTTCATTTTTGGTAGTCTGCTTTGCTGATGTCTCCCGAGTTGTGTAATTTCTTCAGGGTCGTTGTAATCCGGTTTCCTAGCTGTGGTGTCAGGTCTATCGCCATCTGTTGGTAGGTGTTGGAATCTGCTAGTAATACATTAGCTTTCTTGATGTATTGGGTTCTATTGAGGATCACTGTCATGCATCCTTTGTCTGCTGATAAGATTACATTGTTCCTGTCTTTCTTGAGTCTTTTCAAGGCTCTCTTTTCTTCCGTGTTGAATGTGTTCCACTTTCCTTTTTTGCTCAGTGTTGGGACTATCGTCTGATGGTCTGTTATACTTCTTCTGAGTCTGTTCTTTAGTGTTGATTCCAGCACAGCCAGAAAAATCAGTCATTTTAGCGTCTCTGTATGCATACTAGGATGGTCTTCTCAGTGTCCGTAAGAGGTTGGTTGGAGATGTTTTTAATCCATGAATCTGTGTTGTCCATGTCATTGATGTGGGTGATTTTGGACAGTTTTTCTTGAATGACTATTCTTTTCTTTGTTCTAGTCTTTTGTTTATGTATGCTGATGGCTTGTTCCAGTGTGGATGTCCATTCTTGGTCGGTTGCGTTGGAGTTCAGAGTTTTTTGGTGTGTAATTTTGACTGTGAGAAACACTACATAGGCCAAACCAGAAGAAAATTGACTGTACAGATACATGAACACCAATTAGCCACCAACAGACACAACCAATTCTCACTTGTCTCACTATACACGGACACAAATTTGACTGGGACAATACATCGATAATCGCACAAGCCAAACAGAGACACGCCAGGGAATTCCTGCAGGCCTGGTATTCCAACCGGAACTCCATCAACAAACACATTGAACTAGACCCTGTGTACAAACCACTGAGAAACAAAACCAGAAGTCATACCAACCACCCCAGCAAACCGAGGCACATAAATAACAAGCCGGACAGAACACCGACGCATCACCGGAGGCGCACTGATGATGTTACCTGGCAGAGTGACAAAACGTTTGCAACCAAACCTACCAGCTTGGCGAGCATGTCTACAATCTCAATTCTCCTCACTATCCACGACTCTACCAATCCGTGTATTGTCCGCAAACTTACTAATTAGACCAGCTATGCTTTCCTCCAAATCATTCATGTAGATCACGAACAGCAGAGGTCACAGCACTGATCCCTGTAGAACACCACTAGTCACAGCCCACCATTCCGAAAGGTAGCCTTCCACCGCTATCCTCTTTCTCCCAAGACTAAGCCAGTTCTGTATCCATCTTGCCAGCTCACCCCAATACCATGTGACTTCACCTTTTGTACCAGTCTGCCATGAAAGATCTTGTCAAAGGCTTTACTGAAGTCCATGTAGACAACATCAACCGCTTTCCTTCAATCAACTTCATCACCTCCTCAAAAGACTCAATCAAGTTAGTGAGGCACAACCTCCCCTGCACAAAACCATGCTGTTTATTGCTAATCAGTCCATTTGCTACTAAATGCTTATAGATTTGGTTCTCAAGAATCTTTTCCAATAATCTCCCTACTGGACGTGAGGCTCACAAGGCTGTAATTTCCTGATTTATCCCTCTCAACGTTTTAAACAACGGGACATTAGCTATTTTTCAGTCCTCTAGGTCCTCACCTGTGGCCAAAGAGGATACAAAGATGTCTGTCAATGCTCAGGTAACAGGGAAAAAGCTCAAGGGTGATGTGAGGCAGGCTTTTTTACACAGACAGTGGTGGATGCCTGGAACACACTGCTAGGGGTAGTGGTGGAGGCAGATGCCATAGGGCCATTTCAATGCTTTTAGATAAGCACGTGAATAAGCAAGGAATCGAGGATATGAACCATGGGCAGGTAAGAGGGATTTAGTTAATTTGGCATCATGTTCGGCACAACATCAAGGGCCAAAGGGTCGGTTCCTGTGATGTACTATTCTATGTTACATGTTCTAAATGTATCTCACCCATTCTTAAAAACGAAACACGCAACGTTCTAACCCGCTACCATTGAAATGGCAGTTTCATTCAACCTGCATAGATGTATTATGACATATCTCAACAGGGACTAGAACCTGGGATATCTAGGTATGAGGTAGGGATGCTACCACTGCACTACAAGAGCCCTAAGTGGCCAGGAAGGTTGGCTTGGGGCAGAGGTTCAGCCATGATTTAAAAGAAAGTCGGGGCAGGCTTGAGGGGTCAAATGTCCTAGTCCTGCTCCTTATTCTTGAGATCTTATCCTGAATCCTAATTAAAGGCTAACTGCCTGTTTCCTTAACTCACAAAAAACATCAGGCAGTGACCCCCTCCCACTTCTTGGACGACGTGTCCATCCTGGGCCTCCTCCAGTGCCACAACGATGCCACCCAAAGGCTGGAGAAACAGCATCTCATATTCCGCTTGGGAACCCTGCAGCCCAATGATCTCAATGTGGGCTTCACAAGCTTCAAAATTTCCCCACCACCGACTTCATCCCAAGACCAGCCCATCTCGTCCCCGCCTCCTTGACCTGTCCGTCTTTTCTCCCACCTATCCGCTCCTCCCACCTCACTGTCCAACGCCCACCCCCACTTCCCACCTACTAGCCTCATCCCCATCTCCTTGACCTGTCCATCTTACCTCCCACCTACCCGCCCCTCCCTCCTCACTGATCAACCCCCATCCCAACTCCATACCTACACTCATCTTTACTGGCTTCATCCCCGCCTCCTTGACCTGTCCGTCTTCTCTCCACCTATCTGCTCCTCTATCCACCTTCTATCATCGCCTCCCCCTCTCTCTACTTATTTCAGAGCCCCCTTCCCCTCCCCCATTTCTGAAAAAGGGTCCAGACCCGAAACGTCAGCTTTCCTGCTCCTCTGATGCTGCCTGGCCTGCTGTGTTCATCCAGCTCTACACCTTGTTATCTCAGGCAATGACTGATTTTTCTCAATTCCAAAGTGGTTTTGCCTCTGCAACAAGGCATGAGGTCTGGTTGTGTGAAAATCCATCCCTGAGATCCTGAAGGCAGCTCTCTGTGTCTCCTGTTATAAGTCTGAATGACAGCTGTGCTCCCCAGCCACCATCCCGAACCAGAAGGAACAATGTTAATGATTCGAGTGCGGCTTGACTTGGGACTCACCAGACACAGCCACTTCAAACCTGGCCGAGTCGTCGACTGCATCACACAGGTATGTCCCTCGATCCCCTATTGTAATGGGGTGTATGGTCAGCCTCCTGTGACTTCCGTCCACTTCCACTGTGGACCTCTTGGTCCATTCCACCTCCAGCCCGTCCTTGTACCATCTCACCTTCGCCTCAGGCCGTGACAACTCACACGAGAGGACAACCTCATCCCCAGTCAGTACGCTCAATTCTGGAGAGGAACTGCTGACAATTCTTACTGGAGGTTCTGGATCCAACACAGAGATAGTAGAGGGAGATTAAATAAAAGGCAAATTAGAAAATTGATGCAGAAAAAGGAAGTGAGAACAAGGAGGAGAAACAAACAGAACAACTAGTGAATATCAGAGAAAGTGGCGTAGAGAACAGACAGGAAGAGAAGAATGGTCAGAGAAACGGAAATGTAATAATATAACAGAAGAAAGGAACAGAGAAAGAGATTGAAGGAAAAGAGTGAAAGAAAGTTGGAGAAATAAATCAGGAAGTGAGGAACAGAATAGAGAAGAGTGAAAGTGATGCAGAAAATGAAAGTAAGTGAACGAGAGAGTCACATTTAGTCTGCAGATGATATAGGGTGAATATAATAAAGTTGAAAATATGGCATGGAGAAAATTCCCATGACCTAATCTCAATGTCTCCACACAGTGTTCTGAACAATCTCTGTCCACAGTGTGTCCTCTCTGGTTTGTTTTACAGTGATAGTGGTGTTTTCACACTGCTCAAGCTGATTTACTGAAACAGTGTATTTTAAAATTCATTCGTAGATCTGGCATCACTAGCTGGAACAGTATTTATTGCCTATCTCTAACTGTCCAGAGGGCAGTTAAGAGTCAACCACTTTGCTGTGAGGTCTGGCATCACATGTAAGCCAGACCAGACAAGGATTGCAGATTTCCTTCCCTGACGGACAAACCAAATAGGGTTTTATAACTACTGACGGGGGTAAGGCTGAGATAAACAGTCATTTAATCAGTAAGCGAATCAAGGGTTACAGAAATATGGCAGGAAAGTACAGTTGAGGATGATCAGATCAACCATGATCTCACTGAATGGTAGACCAGACTCAATGGGCTGAATGGCCTAATTCTCCTCCTCACAGCTTTACACGTTACCATTAGCCTAACATTTATTAAATCCCACACTTTTTATTGAATATAAATGTCACCTTCTGCCGCGGGGGGATTTGAAGCTCCATCCCCAGGACATTAGTCTCAGGCTTAAAATTATTAGTCCAGTGACACTGTCACTGCATTACTACTTTATTTAGAGGTGAAGGAATATTATCATGTGTAAAATATGAAGTATTAAATTAAAAATTAAATAATTAGTTGTCATGTGCACTGACAACACCCAGTTGTACCTCGCTACCACCTTGGTTGCTGAATTATCTGATGCTTATTAAACATTGGACGGGTTGAAACGTCTTTCAATTAAACAATGGGAGGATTGGAGGCTTGATCAAAGACAATGACTTCTGACTCCAAAACTGCCAATTCCATTTGCCTTTCTGGTAACAGTCTGCAGCTAAATCTGTCTGTTCACCACCTCTGTCTCTTTTGATCCTGAGATAATTACTCTAAACTCTTATTCATTCCATCACTAAGACTTACCTGTTTCTAACTCTGTCTATCACCTGACATTTCCACTGTCTCAGCCGATCTGCTGCTGAAACCCTTAACCATGTCTACGTTTACTCTAAATTCAAATAGCCGAGTGGTCTCTCGGTGGGTCATAAAGACTCCTCCCTGCATTAACTACATATCATGCCTGAAATAACTCCAAAGAGGCCAGTATCCTCTCACCAGGTCATCCTTTATTTACACTGAACAGTCCCTGACTATGGTACTGCCTCATACAGAATCAGTTACCAGAGTGTCAGTGTCTCTGACGCTCACCCTGTTTCTCTGTCAGCTAGGGCTCCTTGATTGGACCAGATTAACAGCCCCAATCTGGGAACTCATATTCAATGAGATCCAGCTGGCTGACTACAACACCAAAACACTGCCAACCGTAACTTAACCAGAGTCAAGCCCTGTTAACCCATCATCCGCAGGCTTATAACGACCTACACTGGGTCCTGGGCAACAGACATGTTGGTTCACAAATTCTCATCCTTGTTTTTAAATCCATCCATTCCCTCCCTCTTCACTATCTCTGTAATCTTATTCTACTTTACCATTCTTTGGGATCTCCGATCATTTGTCATTTTAATCAACCCAACCCTCTGCCCCTCCTTTGTTTTCCTTGAAGCCAGAAAGTGACCAGCTTTCTCACTCTGCCTCTGTAACAAGGCATGAAGCCTGGCAGTGTGACAGCTATCCCTGAGATCCTGAAGGAACTTTTCCATGTCTCCTGTTGTTAATCTGAATGACAGCAGTGCCCCCCACTCCAGCTTTCATGGAGAGAATAATGTCGGTGATTTGAGTGCAGCTTGACCGGGGACTCACCGGACACAGTCACTTCAAACTTGGTTGAGTCGTCAACTGCATCGCACACATACGTCCCTTGGTCCCCCATCGTAGCTGGGTGGATGGTCAGCCTCCTGTGCCCTCCGTTCACCTCCATTGTGGATCTCTCATTCCGCTCCACCTCCACCCCATCCTTGTACCATCTCACCTCCACTTCAGGCCGTGATAGTTCACATGAGAGGACAACCTTATCCCCAGTCAGTACGCTCAACACCGGAGTGGAATTGTCAACAATTCTCACTGGAGGTTCTGGATCCAACACAGACAGAAAGAGGGGGACAGAGAGAGAAAGACAGCAAACCAAATTAGGTAACAGACAGAAAAAGAAAGGGAGTATGAGAAAGAAAGACAGAACAGGGAGTCAATGTTACAGAGAGGTGTCTCAGAGAAAGAATGAGACATTGAACAGACAGGAGAAGAGGAATGGATAAAGATCATGAAATAGAGGGGAAAGGAAATGTAAAAAAATAACAGAAGGAACAGAGAAAGAGATGAGGGAACAGAGTGAAAGAAAGATGGAGAAATAGAATCAGAAAGGGAGGACAGTGATCCAGAGAATGAGTGTAAAAAGAGAGTTACATTTACCCTGCAGGTGATATAGAGCGAACATAATTTTACTGAAAACAGGATCTATTCATGATCTATTTCAGATGTCTTGACGCAGAACGTCCTGAAAAATCCCTGACCACAGAAAGGTCTTTCTGGTTTGTGTTACAGCGATTTGTGTAATAGCGTAATAATTTGTGTAATAATTGGTTTGTGTATTAGTGACCCTGTCACTATTGAGTTATTGACACAATATTTTTTTTTAATTCATTCACAGGATCTGGGCATCACAGGCTGGACCATTATTTATTGCACATCGCTAATCGCACAGAGGGCAGTTAAGAGTCAACCCACACTGCTGTGGGGTGGGAGTCACACATTAATCTGACCAGGTAAGGGCAGCAGATTTCTTTCCCTGAAGAACATTAGTGAACCAGATGGGTCATAGAGTCATACAGCATGGAAACGGATCTTACGGTTCAACCAGTCCATGCTGACCATAATCTCAAACTAAACTAGTCCCACCTGCCTGCACTTGCCCCACATCCCTCCAAACATTTCTTACTCAATGTTGTAACTGCATTCACATTCATTACTGCCTCTGGAAGTTCATTCCACACATGAATCACTGTCTGTTTTAAAAAAAATTACCTCACCTTTTTTAAATCTTTCTTCTCTCACCTTAAAAATATGCCCCCTTGTCTTGAAATTCCCCACACTAGGGAAGAGACACCTGTCATTCACCTTATCTGTACTCCTTGTTATTTTATAAATCTCTATAAGGTCACCTCTCAATCTCCTATGCTCCAGTGAAAGAAGTCCCAGCTTATGCAGCCTCTCTTTATAACTCAAACCTTCCATTCCCAGGAACATCCTGGTAAACCTCTTCTGTACACTCTCCAGCTTATTAATATTCTCTTACTGATTAAATATCGGTCTCAGCCTTACCTATGTCAGCTGTTACAAAACACATAAATCTTTTCTGAACCCCCTCTAGCTTAAAATATCCTTCTAAAAACAGGGCAACCAGAACTGGACACAATACACCAGAAGAGGTACCTCACCAATGTCCTGTACAATCTCAACATGCATCCCAACTCCAAACTCAAAAGTCTTAGCAATGAAACAAGCCTGCTAAACACCTTTTAACCAGCCTGTCTACGTGTGACACAAACTTCAAAGAATTATGTACATGCACCCCTAGGTCTCTCTGTCCTACCCAAGGCCCTACTTCCAATTGAATAAGATGTGTTCTTGTTTATCTTACCAAAATGAATACCTTGCACTTATCCAAATTAAATTCTATCTGTCACTCCTCAGCCCATTGACCCAATTGATCAAGATCTCTTTGTAATCTTAGATATCCTTCTTCATTGTCCACTATACCACCAATTTTGCTGTCATCCGCAAACCTACTGAACATATGTTCTATATTCTCATCCAAATCATTTCTATAAATTACAGACAAAAGTGAACCCAGCACCGATCCATGTGGAACACTGGTGGTAACAGGCCTCCAGTCCGACAAACAACCCTCTCCCACCACTCTGAGATAGCAAGAACTGCAGATACTGGAGTCAGAGATAAAACAGTGTGGAGCTGGAGGAACATTGCAGGCCAGGCAGCAGTAAAGGAGCAGGAAACTTGACGTTTTGGGTCAGGACCCTTCTGGGTCTGTCTCCTGCTGTTAAGCGAATTTTGTATCCAACTGGCAAGCTCACCCTGAATTCCCTGCGATCTAACTTTACTAATTAGTCTACCACGCGGAACCTTGTCAAAGGCCTTATTAAAATCCAAGTGAACAACATCTACTGCTCTGCCGTCATCAATCTTCCTGGTTATTTCCTCAAAAAAATTCAATCAAGTTTGATAGATACAATTTCCCTTGCACTAAACAAGTCAAACACAATGACTGCAAGCTCCATAACTGCCAACTCTATTCACCTTTCTGGCAACAACCTGTGACAAAATCAGTCCGTTCACCACCTAATTGTCTCTTTTTATCCTAAAATGAGACTCTAAACTCTTATTAATAGCATTGCTAAGAATAGCCTGTTTCTACCTGTGTATCACCTGATATGTCTTTGTTAACATAGAACAGTACAGCACAGGAACAGGCTCTTCAGCCCACCATGCCTGTGCCAACCATGACTCCATTATAAACTAATTCCAACTGCCTGTACATTGTTCATATCCCTCTATTCCCTGCCTGTTC